TGAAAATTGAAACCTTTGATTCCATGCTAGTAGTATTTGTTTCTTCAGATAGAAACTCAAGGTTCAAAGCTCGAGCATAAGACAGGAATCTTGGACGATTTTTTCCCGAATTCGTTTCGTAACAAATTGGTAAAGGTAAGTTCGGACTAAATATTTGCAGGAAGTATTTCAGCCACTCAATTTTTGTTAAGAAAAACTTGATGGGTTTTTGTTTCAAGGGCTATTACAGGAAGTTGGATGGGATTCGGAGAAGCCTGGATATGATGGACTCATTGAATTGGCCGAAGCTCTTCTGATGAACAGCTGAAGCAATTCTGACACCAAAGATTCTGCGGTGTTCCGATATAAACCCTTTCATCTCTCTGTTTTCTTCTTTAATATTGTTTAGTTTTATATTAGTGTGATCGTTGTTGTTGTCTTGGACATGACAGGTTCGAATATTGAAGTCACTGTTTCCGCCATTTTTGTTAGAGCTTTACATAATCCTTATAGATCCCATAGATGGAGGGAAGGTCGCTGCAATGATGGTTGGTGAGTTGAATCTTCATAAGATGTGGTTTTCATGGCTGTGACTTTTTTCCCTCCTTTCATTATGTTTTTGTTAAGCAAGGGTGACTGTGTTCGCTTTTCAATGGCTGATGGGCGTATGCTAGGTGAATTCTCTGGATCTTCATGGTGGGACCTCTTGCAATAGCGGGGTAAAATTTGATTCAAGTTTAAGATGACAATTATCAGCAGAATAAGATTCATTTTTTATGGATGGAATGCTTCAATTTCTTGTAGGTTTTTGTAGAGAGATGCAGGTACTTGGAGGAGAGTAAGTGTGTTGGGGTTTGTATTAATACTTGTAAGCTTCCGACACTGGTTAGTAGTTATATGCCGGAAGTTGTTTAGCGTACCTGCAATTTCAAGGAGGCTTTAGTTTAAGAGTTATTGCAGAGTTTCTTCAAGGATTACATGGGGGTTCCTTTGGTGTTGGAGCCCAACTTCAGTGATTATAGCTGTCAGGTAAGATTTGTTTTTGGCGAAAACAGGGCTAACCAACCAACATGTAATTTGAACCATTCAGTTTCATTGGTTTACCATTAGCAAGTATCCTTTCTGCGGAAGAACTAGAAGCAGAACTAGCTAACTGCAAAAAGGAAATCTAATGATGCACTGTTATATCTTTGTTATCACAGCCTGTGGTCTTACCAGTCACCAATTGCCTGTACTAAGTTGTATTGACTTTGTTATTACAGTTCAAATTTGGGGTCAACCCGCCATTGCCGGAGAACGATGACACCCTAAAACAGCCCTGCCTGGATGTATGCCCAATTGCAAATAAACGGAGGGATATTCAGAAGAACGTGGATGTGATGAAATGTCCGAAGGCCTAGCATCATGATTCAGGTTTCACACCAACTTTTTGATGCCGTCACGCACTCAATGTATGTACGAATTGCTGATGCATGTAAAAAGGTATCATTACATTACATTTCTTCTGTTTTTGCAATCTACTGAGCTTGTTAACCTTGCGGTTTAGACGAACAATATACACGAAACAAGAGTCATAATTTTATACCAGGATTTCTCTATAGCTTTATTGGTCTACAACTGACTACGGTTCTCTCTCCCGTGATCGCATTCAAAATAATGCCCACAAGCATCGCCGGTTGCGCTATACCTTTAAAATTGAAGCAAGATGAATTAAGCATTTTGCAGCCCTTTCAGCTGATAACAATCTCAAGCCTACGAGACAACTTACACAACAACCTAATTTCTTCCCAACATTTCCAAGCTTAAATTTGATCAAATCATGAACCACAACTCGTAAGGTGTACCTTGCAACACCCTCCAATGCCTAGGATATAAAACACTTCATAACTTAGGGCAACCTTTAAGAAAGAAAAAGATCATTCCCTTCCAAAGCTATATGTACTTATTGATTCCATTAAAGCACATGTTAGATCCACCAATCCCTTAATCTTCCTTTTCTTATTGATTCCATTGCTTCTTGTTTGCCACGTACGTAGTGTCATGGAATGGTTTTGATTGTTTACTGCAGTGAATGATACGGTTTTGGACCTATTTTTGCGGATGTTTACACTGCTTTAAAAGTTATTATTGACTCTATCAACAAACTAAGATACTCCTCAAATAAAAACACGTGAAGATGGAAAGATAGTGTACAAATAATCATGCAGAAACAGTAAATTATAGATGCATATACTGGGTTAGGATCTAGTTACATAGTATAAAACATTTTTAGTTTTACATATAGGACCGTTAGATGAGTAGAAATGAAATAAACGGCTAATATTAAATGTAGAAACTAGGAAATGAAAAAATATTCACCGATCAAACCTTGAACTTGTGTAAAACTAAGAAAGTGTTGCATTATGTAAGTGGATTTTAACCCTCTATATATAAATAAACTGAACATTATGCAAAGAAAAAAAAATGCAGAAAGATACTAAGCATGATTCATAGATGTACAAAGGCTAACTGTCCCATCCAGAGGGCCTCCGTCTTTCTCTAGGCCTATCTCTTGAACTGCAAGAGCAGAGCCAAGAATGGGCTTAATTGAGCACAGAAGTCATGGTAATTTTTTCCCCAAAAATAAAGAATAAAAGAGGCATTGAAGATAGCTAGCATAAGAGATTAGCAGAGAAAAGGGACGTCTCTGAGTTCCTTTGTTCAGTGTTTTGTGAAGTATTCAATACTGATGACGGAGCTGTGCTGAATGAATTTGCCATGGGAGACCTATTTAAGTCTCCACCATATACAAATTCAGTCAAAGTTGGTCTCCTGACGCCTCGAGCTGTTACCGGAGCGATAGTTTGATGAGGCAACAGCCAAGTTACTCCTAAATTGTGCCATCATGCCAGTTTACATAGAATTTACGACCTGATGCCTCGACACACAATTGTTTGAACTCGAAATTAGTCCTCTAAGGAAAATAATATTCCTTTTTTATTAAATAATTTGATGGATTCATCAACGAGATAGACTTGATTCATACGACAAGGTAAGGTATTACATCCTTTTTCTGCTGCCATGTTAATTTTTAGACCTGTATCCATCTCCAAATTAAAAGTTAAAAAGCCAAGATAAACACATAAAACGGAAAAAATAAAATAACAAGGGAAGTGGAGTTAGATGAAAATGCAGCTCTTCATGCTCCCCAAACACTGCTCACTCCATCTCCCCACACCAAATCCTTGCTGCAAAGCCCAAGCTCTTTCCCTGTCTTTTGCTCCCCAGCCTCATCCGAAACGGTGAGTTTTGATTCATCCGTTACTACTATACTCAAATCTATTCTCAAAATTCAAACCTTTGATTCAGTACTAGTAGTATTTGTTTCTTAAGATAGGGATTTAAGGATAAAAGCTCCAGTATAAAAAAAGGAATCTTGGACGATTTTTTCCTGAATTCCTTTCGTAACAAATTGGTAAAGGTAAGATCGGACTAAATATTTGCAGGAATTATTCAGTTAAGGGTGAGTATTTGATGAGTTGAGTAAAAAAAAATTGAATTATGGTACACTTTATGAATCAAATTTAATTTGAATTTCTTTTAGTCGAATCGAGTTTTTATATAAATTTAATTATAATTATTTATAGTATTGTGGTATGCGTTGATTCTAATTTTGATAATTTTCTCTAATCTTCATATTCACTTGAGTTTATAAAATAAGAATTAAAGTTATATAGGTATTTTATAGTGTTAAAGGAACATATGGTTCAAATTTGATTAAAAACGAAAGAAATAAAGAAATCATAAGAAGTTGAGCCATTAAATTAAAAAAATAAAATTTATTATCAAATAGAGAAATTGAAAATGCTCATGTATTTTATGATGATTTAAGATCATGTAGTTTAAATTTGATAAAAATGGATTTAAAATAAGGATTAATTGAAGAAATAAAAAAAAATTATGGACTAAATTATAAAATTGTTAAAATACTTAATAATTTTTAAATTTTTTAAGTGGCTCTAGATTTTCAAATTTTAATCGGAACTCAAAAATCTATTCGATAATTGAGTTAACTCGAATAATTCGATTCAAATAATTTAAAATTGAGAAGAAAAAAAAAAGAGTTTTTGAGACGTATTTTAATCGCTCCTAATTTCAACCACTCAACTTTTGTAAAGAAAAACTTGGGTTTTTGTTTCAAGGGGTATTACAGGAAGTTGGATGGGATTCGGAGAAGCCTGGATACGATGGACTCATCGAATTGGCCAAAGCTCTTATGAAGAACAGCAGAACCAATTCTGCCACCAGAGATGCTGCGGTGTTCCAATATAAACCCTTTCATCTCTTTTTTTTTCTTTAGTTTTATATTAGTTTGGTCGTAATTGCTGTTTTGGACACGACAGGTTCGAATACGTAAGTCAATGTTTCCGCCATTTTTGTTAGAGCTTTACAAAATCCTTATAGCTCCCATAGATGGAGGGAAGGTCGCTGCAATGATCGTTGGTTAGTTGAATCTTCATAACATGCTCTTAAATGGCACTTGATATATTAGATACGTGGTTAACTTACATGGCCGTGCCACCTCTTTTTTCCCCCACTGTGTTTTTGTTAAGCGAGGGTGCTTGTGTGCACTTGTCAATGGCTGATGGGAGTATGCAAAGTTAATTATGTGGATTTTCCTGATGGGACCTCTTGCAATAGCGGGTTAAAATTCGATTCAAGAATAAGATGAGAATTATGAGCAGAATGAGATTCGTATTTTCATGAATGGGTCTGCTTGCAGGTTTTTGTAGAGAGATGCAGGTACTTGGAGGAGAGTCAGTGTGCAGGGGTAAAACTGTCACGGTATTAATATAATAATTTATCATATTAACGTGATAAACTCCTGAAAGATAACAGAGAAACGATGTAACATCTGCTTCAGGGCGGTAACCCATTCGCAAATGCAATACAAATTGGGGTGAAAGTGGAGGGTTTGTTGTTTCTGGATAAAAGATAACGAGGAAGTCGCTGTTTAACTAAAAAGCTAAAAACTAGTTTCTTGTTCCACTACACTTGTACAGAGAGCTACACGCTACCCTTATCGTTCCCGACTCATACCTCGCCATTTCCAAGGCCACCCTTACTCCAATTACAAAGGAACCCAGAAATGGCACACGCCTGCATTTCGACATCGGCATCGTCTCTTCGGTTGATTTCCACGGGCTTCTCTTCAAACTCCAGCTCCAATCTTGACTCTCATAAGTTATCTCTTCCTTTCCTTCCACTTCGTCCCAGGTATTTTATCTTCTTCTTTCTCTTATCCAAACTAGGTAAATTTAATAGAATCCCAAAGTTCGAGTCTTATTTTTTTTTAAAAAAAAAAACTAAACGTTTAGTTCGACGTTATAGGAAAATGTAATAGATTTACTCTTCTTCCAACCTTAATTAAAACCCATGTTTTGTTTTAATGCTTGTTTCTTTAGGATGGGTGCAAGATGGATTTTTAATCTTTGTTTTTTTCTTTTTTACTTTTCACCTAATTGGTTAAAGGAAACTGAAGAAGCTAATTGGTAATCGAAATAATGTGAGGAGCCCGCAGGCAAAAGCTGTTTACACAGGAGAGTTTTGGGCTCCAGAGGCAAGCTCTCGTCAGGGAATTTGGTCAATAAGGTAGAAGAAACTCGTATGAAAAATACAACCTTATTCTAACTTTTTCTCTTTTAATAATGTTTGTTGATAACAGATTAGATTTGTTATATTGAGATATATGCAGGGATGATTTGCAAGTCTCATCATCACCTTACTTCCCTGCATATGCACAAGGGCAGGGCCCTCCTCCAATGGTGCAAGAGCGATTTCAGAGTGTTATTACCCAGCTTTTCCAATATGTACGAATTTGGTTTGGTCGTTTTTCAGCTTCATGAGACTTGGTTTTCTCTCCTATCAGTTTATTATATTGGCTTATTTGATTGTTAGAGAATAATTCGCTGCGGTGGAGCTGTTGATGACATGGCAAACATTATTGTAGCTCGGCTTCTCTATCTTGATGCTGTTGATCCTGAGAAGGTCTAGTTGATTGCATGCTTTCTCTCTCTCATTTGCTCACACTTAGATTGGTTTCATTCATGAAATAAGGAGGCTTGAATTCTAGTTATGAATGGTATTTAATACTTGTGCATTTTTTTATCGTCAACAGGACATTGTCATGTATGTCAATTCCCCTGGAGGGTCAGTTACAGCTGTTAATGTACCTATCATATGAGAATAATGTATTTGTGATCTCACTGGTGTGTTTCAAATAGCGAGCAACATACAATTTTCTATTATTTATTTTTGACTTGCTTGATTTGAGTTCTCATAGGTATGGCTGTATTTGACACTATGAGGCATATCCGACCTGATGTCTCGACTGTGTGTGTTGGACTTGCTGCTAGGTATAAATTCAATGATGCAGCCATTTATGTTTCTTATGCAATTATTTTCACTTCAGTACGGAACATTAGGAAATGATATTCATTGATCTTAACTTTGTAACTTAAATCATGTTGTCTGGTTCATTCTAACAGATATTTGATCCTTGCTTAGAATATTTCTTAATATGTATAATATATATGGCCAAACTGTTTGTAATTCTTCAATTTGTTTGAGATAGAAGAAGCATTGTGACAGATATGGGTTTATTTGTCATATCTCCCATGGTTGGCTAAGCCTTGTATTTCAAAGCCAAATTCAGTTTGCTCCCCACTTTTGGCAAAAAGGTTATGCATGGTTGTCTGGTTTCCCAATTGCCAGGATGTTGTAGGCTAAGGCCTAATTCTGACATGTACAGCTTCATTTTGCTACATGACTCACTCTCGGTTTTGATTATATATCATAATGCATGATAACATATTTTATGGGCAGTGGGTAGTGAGGCGGAAACTGGTTGTTTGGCATAAGATGGGTAAAGTGAAAAGCAATAGCCCTCAGTTTAGGGATGGGCATGGGACCCGACCCGATCGGGTCGGATTTTTTTATAAAAAATTCGGTTTTGGGTCGGGTCAGGTTTAGTTTTTTTAAAATGTGATGTTCAGGTCGGGTTCGGGTTTAGGGTGAAAAATACCCGACCCGACCCGACCCTAAAAAATATATATAATTTTACCTTATATATTTAGGAATAATTACAATAATATCCATCTATATATTATTTTTTTCAATTAAGTCACTGTTTTTATTGAATAAAAATAATTTTTTTTATTATTTCGGGTCGGGTTTTTAAGTTATATATCGGGTCGGGTGAAAACTTGTTTTACTTGGGTCGGGTCGGGTATTGGGTGGAGGACCCTTTGTTCTCGGGTCGGGTGGACCAAAAACCCGACCCATGCCCATCCCTACCTCAGTTGAGGGTGTTAATGATGGGTGAAGGAATTGGAGGATAGGGTGGTTCTGAACTGAGTACCTTTTAGCAGAAAACCCTACCTTGTTAGAAAAATTCGAAAGGATTGCAACTTTTAGATTGCTCTTCTAGTGTTTTTACCTCTGCATTCTGGATGCAATTCTTTGCTATTACTAACGGGATATATTTTGCATGTGGATGCGATTCTTTGCTATTACTAACTGGATATATTTTGTTCTTAAATGAGCAGTATGGGAGCTTTTCTGCTTAGCGCTGGATCCAAAGGTATACAATGCTCGTGATTTATACATTCATCGCTCTGTTATTCGGAATAGTTCCCCCCGTCTACAAGGTGTACTTTACCCTTTGTTTTCTTGACACCTCCAGGAAAACGATACAGTTTACCTAATTCAAGGATAATGATACATAAACCTCTTGGTGGAGCTCAAGGAGGTCAAACTGATATCGATATCCAGGCATGTGTTTCTTTTGGCAAACCTCATGTTGTTTAAACTTTGTTAGTAAAGAGGAACCTTTTTTTTGCGTGTTTGGTGTTTTTTTTTTTGTGGGGGGAGGGGATAGAAAAGTTTAAATAGTGCAGCATGGGAAACCTTCATGGCCAAATATCAACAGTTGTGACTTCTTTAAGAAAACTGTCTAGTATTAGCTTCAACTTCGTTCGGTTGTTGTACAGTACCCTGACTGATACGCATGATTTCTCAGGCAAATGAAATGCTGCATCATAAGGCAAATATATACGGGTATCTGGCTTACCACACCGGTCAAAGTTTGGAGAAGATCAATCAGGATACTGACCGTGATTTCTTCATGAGTGCAAAAGAAGCAAAGGAATATGGATTTATTGATGGTGTTATCATGAATCCTTTGAAAGCACTTCAATCACTACCTTCTACGGCTGATGGTAATGAATAGCCGTTGCGTGTAATGTGTGTTTAGGTATTTTTGGTATCAATGTCATGGCTATACTATAGAAACGAAATGATTGTCCACTTAAGTGTCTCATTGAGTATTGAATAATGATGATAATCTGGTAAAAAGAAAAATGGATTTTAAACAGGGAGTATGAATTTTGCCTTTTTGCTGCAAATAAACGTGCTGAAAAGTTTAGTACTATAATTCTTCTGTTTGCCAAAAAAAGAAGAATTTTTATTTTGTTTTTCTTTTGTCGGTGCCCAAGTGATCCAACTTTCTCATTTTCTGAATCCCCGAACGAGAAAAAGAGGGGGTAAGGAAAGGATATGCTAAACTAGAATCAAGCATAATCACTTTCAATATTAACATTTCTATTACATTCTTCTAAGACCGAGAAATACGTAGAGACCAAGATGGGCAACAGAGATTCCTTGGTCGAAAACCTTGCTTCTCATGAAACTTGTGAAAGCTGAAGATATGGGTATAGTTCTTCAAGCTCATCAAAGAAATCGATTTCATCTGATTTTGGCGTCGACGATGTCGCTATATGAGGGCAACACAGTGGCTCCTCATCCAACACAAACCCCAACGAGTCATGGGTTTTCTCTGGATTCCAGGTGAAACAATCTTCTTGGCTACTGGTAACATTTGATGGGGTTTGTAAATAGTGAAAACGTTCTTCACTTGCCTCTTCATCACCGCTAGTTTTGCTGGCCCCGTTTTGTACCTCTGGAGCTTCCGGTACCTTCTCTAGCTTGGGAGTTGGGGGCTTATCGTCGCCACTACGGTTGCTTTGGGGTTCTTCCGGCAACAGTTTTATGTCGGTGGAGTCGAGATCAGGGCCTGGATGGTTATGACTAGACGTATATGTGACGATAAGCATGGAAGCATCTGTTTTGCATCTATCTACTTGCTTTTTGGCCGAACAACCTTTTGAAGTGCTACACCTGTAGTACCCTCTGCTTGTAAGAAACATCAAAAAGTTAAAAAAAGCAGGAGGATTATCAAAACAATGTACACTAAGGGAATGAACATGGGTTGAAGAAAAAGAAGACCTGGGATAAGGAGACCCTTTGATAGGCTTTTGCCCATATTTCCTCCACGACTACAAATCCGAAGGCGGACCTTCGTTCCTTAGCTTCCCACCATTTTCCCCGACCTTCACCGTAACCACAGTCCTTTCCACCACCTTACTGGAAATAAACAAACATTTCTAAACTTGGAAATGTCATTTCAAAACTGTAATAAAAAGATAAAAATAACCTTCTTTTGGATGACTGAGTTTCTGATTCATCTGAAGACAATTTTGGAGAGACAGAACCTTCCATCATCACTTTCTATAGTTGCTGCTGCTAGGTTTTGTAAACCTGCTCTTATGTTATGCCAAAATGATTAAAAGAGACGAGCAGAGCTGTTTGAGAATTTAATGAACTCTAGATAAAAAAACGAGTTAGGCAATACGACATAAAAAAAAACCCAGCAACTTGCTTTCTCCCTTTTTTTTCGCACTAATTTAAATATGCATGAATGAATCAACACTCACCTTTGCAATATAATAAACCACCCGGGCAGATACGCCATATAAATGAGTTAGACATTTCTTGGGAGGGCCCATCCCCAGACAATCAATTTTCCACTTGCAAAGCTGACAATAATCCACGAAATCTTATCCTGATACCAAATTTGTGAATCTCCCCGAACAAAGGAAATTTAGTTTGCTGTAGGATTTGGTGGAAAGAACACAACTTGGATATCCTCATGTTAGTCAAATATTAATAAAGCTGCTGCCTTTTTTTTTAACTATTGAGTTTGGCTAGAATCTCTGCAGAATCTAACTATACACATGGGGCTTCCCCCCCCCCCTCCCTTTTTAGATCATTTGATTTATTGTTGCTACTGGGGGAATAGAGCAGTTGCGTAATTCTAAGGCGGCGCAGCCAAAGTGAGGTATCTAACTGATTGACCAATAACTAACCAAGACAAAGCTGGTTTAATCTAATATTTCATTGTGTGATGGTTTATAGTCTGGATATTTGTTGGCGTCGAAGAGTGGATAAATGTGCTACAACTCCGTTCCTTACATGTTCAGACTCGCAGTATTTCTGAAACTAAATTCATAATCATATTAAGGTCCCCAATCGCCATTGGTTTGAGGTTGAAGAACCAATGAGCGGAAGAGACAAGGATTCTGAGATGAAAATTGGATCCAAAGTGAGTCAGGGAAGGCTTACATGGGCTAATGATGAACCAATGAGCGGATTGAGATTTCGTATTCGGAATGGGAGGTGCTGCCCGTTTGGTGTTGCTAGATATTTTTTTATTAAGTTAGAATGATTATAAAGTAACAATATTTGTTGTAAATACTCTTAATCATTTAACTTCAAATCTGTAAATTTTATGAACAACAACGATTTATTTAACTGAAATAAATTAATTATGTGTAAGTTACTAGATTTAGTTTCGTAGGGATCTCATCGACTTTTTCTTATTTCATTTTCCTCGAAAGGAAATAAAAGCGTAGGTATCAAAAGTAAAGCTTGAATTAAGAAAACCTCCTAAAGACAGAAAACTTGCTGACAAATTTTAATGTTGAGTAGTAAGCCAAATAAAAAAATACCCAAACGGATACGACGATTGGCAGCTACAAAACGATGATTATTTAGACGATAATTTAGTAATCGGAATGTAAAAGCCTTCAATGAATACGAGGGAAAGCAAGCGAGTATTAGGATTAAATTAAAACAAAAATATAAAATTTAAATTTATTATAATCTTAAATTTATTAAGGCTTAATATACTTTTTAGTGTCTAATCTATGTCTCAAATATGATTTGGTGCCTGAAGAATTTTTTTACTAACAATAAGTGCCTAACGTTTCAAACGTTATACTTTCAGATGATTTTTTTGAATTAAAACCCTCTTTTTAATCATTTATTAGAAAAATGACATCCAACATGAATTATTTGGAAAAATGATCTCCAAACTGCCCGCTAGGACTATCTCGCGTTCTTCAAAATGTGTATAAGGACCTTGCATTATATAGGGCGTGAGACCCATCTGACGTGGAAGAATTTTTCAGATAATCCAATTTAATATTTGGATAAAAGACCTCACATTGTACAGAAGACGAAGTTCACGAGAAATTGAAGTGTCTCAAGATTTTATCGCGGGTTTTATTATAAGGTCCTCACATTCTGAACATAACGAGATCCTTGTAAATATAATGTAAATTTCATGCATGTTCGAGGTGTTTTTCCGAGTAGTAAATTGAAAAATTATCATAATTTATAAGATTAGATGTGTAATATTGTAACTTATCTTTCATTTGAGGGTAATACCATCACATACGAGACATTGTAAGCGGGGTAAAAATCATGTTGAAAATGATTCCAAAGCTTGGTTTTGTGCATGAAAAATAAACTAAAATGGCTTCATAGACATGTTCGAGGGGTATTTCTAGGATATGAAGTTAATTGATTTTTTTTTTAATTTTAAGCTTAGAGGCGTAGTGTTACAACTTATCTTTCATTTGAGGGTAATATCAGCACATGCAAGACATTGTAAGCGAGATAAAAATCACGTTGAAAGTGGCTCCAAAGTTTGGTTTTATGCATGAAGAACAAGCTAAAATAGCTTGATAGACACGTTCGAAGAGTATTTTCCGGAAGTTAGTTGATTTCTTTGTTGTTAATTTTTAAGCTTAGAGGTGTAGTATTGCAATATATCTTTCATTTTAGGGTAATATCTACACATACAAGATATTATAAGCGGGGTAAATATCACGTTGAAAATGGTTCGAAACCAAAAGGAATTGAAAACTAACAAATATATTTTGTTAATTAGAAAAGTAGTAGTATAATGAAAAAAACACAATTAATTGATACAAATATATTTAGTTAATTAGAAAGTTAAAATATCAACACTTATGCTCTAATGTTCAATACATTTAAATTTGAAAAAGTTGATGACGGTAACCAAAAATTAAAATATAGATACTTATGCTTTGATGTTCAATACATTAACATTTGAAAAAATTGATGAATACACTATTGAATACTAAGAAGTTAAGTTTCTTAGGGATCCTTATGCCAATATTTGTTCTAGAAAATCAACTCGTATTTTCTCTTTCAAGAGGAGCATAACTTCTAGCACTAATATTGGTATAAGGACTCAAAGAAAATGGCATATGAGCAGGGAAAGTCTAGCCAAAAGCAAGCACAAAAAAAAACAAAAAAAACCATGGATGTGAGAAGCACAAGGCTAACAAAGCAAGGCATCCTCTTCAGGTGGTATGACTTTTAGTAATGATATTGGCATAGGGATCTCCAAGTTTTGTGCCACCAAAAGAGGATATTTTTGCAAAAAAAAAAAAAACTCAAACATTAAGATCGATTTTAACCCCACTCGCCGAACACCTTGATCTCAAGTTTAGTGCCACCAACTACTTATATAAGTATGGACCTCACATTTTGCAGAAAGATAGGTCATTAGATATTCCTGACGTGGAATGGACCTGACGTGCAATTGGTTCAAAGCCCTGGCTTTATGGATAGATTCATATATTTTTTCAGCTAGCCAAATAAAGGCAAATAATATATATATACAATAAATGTAACATCCTCAATATTGGGTTAGTGACTAAATTGTAAAATTTCAGAATTTGGTGATAAAAGTATAATAGTTGAATAGTTCAATGATTTATGTGGAGATATTTCCTTAAAGTTGTTAGTAATTATTAAAAGAATTAAAGGGCAAAATGGTCATTTGATATAAAAGATTTTTGTTTCCCTTATAAGATAAGGGAAACCCAATCCATTGTGATTCCACACAATTTTCTCATCTTCTTCATCTTCTTCTCTTTTCCACCGTGGAGGATGCAAGAAAATGTGAGTTCTTAATTAGTTGATTATTTGTTGAATTAAAGATTGGGTTTTGATCATTAGATGATAACTAAGCTTAAGGAAAGCTTAAGTTATCTTAAAATCAAAAGATAAAGGAGTTAGGGAAGATTAAAGATTTGGAGTTCTTGAGTGAGATCTTGAAATAGAGTTGATAATTTGAATTTGAAGTTAAATTTGACTTGTCATC